AGAGAGAGAGAGAGAGAGAGAGAGAGAGAGAGAGAGAGAGAGAGAGAGAGTTCTTCTTCCTCTTCTAAGTCCACCATCTCTTCTTCACCCTCTCAACACCTGACTTCTCAGTATCAGCAGACTACGACAGAGAGAGAGAGATTTGTGACTTGAGACTTGACGACATTGGATCCAGACTCGACATTGGGATTCAGAAATTTTGACGAGGAACTATTTGGGCCTGTGCCGAAGACTTGGTGTTGACAACATTCCCATATTCCCCTCTTCTTCGTCTAACCCCCCCCTCTTCTTCGTTTGTGTATGGTTGGGGCTGGCGCATTCTTCCTGTGTGAGCGCCAGACCCCTTCACACCATGGAGTGATGATGATGATGTGTGTTCGGGGCTGCATTGCAATATTGATTGTTCGGATCATTGGTATCTAAGTCTTCCGCTACGCTATCTTGTACTTTGTGAGAGAGGTCGGTTCTTGTTCTGGTCTGCACCGTTACAGTATGCAACAGTTTGGTATCGGAGCGGACCTCTCAATCAGAGGACCCGCTCAATCAAGTAGCCAGCTTGCTTGATCTATTGATTACTCATTAGTAAATAAAGTAGGACTTCGTCAAATCTCTGAATTTTTTTTCGCAACAAATATCTGAAAAATTCTGATAATCGCATTTCGTTTTACCTGAAATTTCTGATATTAGTATTTCGTTTTCATGCAACAAATATCTGAAAATTTCTGATAATCGCATTTCGTGTTATCTGAAAATTCCTGATAGTAGCATTTCGTTTCTCTGATATTTGCATACATAGCTGAAAATTTCTTATGTTAACATTTCATTTTCTAGGCATATTAGGATAACGATAGAAGTGGTCATATTCTCGGAAACCGGATTTATTCTTTTCTGAAAATCGAATCTCCATTCTATCTCGCAATTTTTTTATTTTTTTTTTTGAAAACCGAAATCTTGCGAAGCCTATCATCAGTTTGTTTTAGGCATATTAAGAGGTTATCATATTCTCAGAAACTGGATTTAGTTCTTTTCTGAACATTGCATCTCTACTCTATTTCGCAAAAAAAAATCAAGATTGCATTTTTGTGAAAGCCGAAACTTTGCGGAACCTAGCCTAGATCTCGCTCATAGTACTCTTCTGACATGCCTCACCCATAACAGATCGACAGATATATATAAAAAAAAAAAAAAGGAAGTAGTCCTCCTTTTTTATTTTTTTATTTATTTATCTGTTGATTAGGGCCGGGAGGAAAGTATTGCTTGGTTGGTTACCTACCTTCGTTTTCCCTCCCACCCACCTCTTTGCTTGCATTCCCGACTGGGTACAGTGCCACGTCAGCAGTGCCACGTCAGCAGTACCACATCAGCAACAGTGCCACATCAGCAACAGTGCCACGTCAACAATGCAACGTCAACAGTGCCACGTCAGCAACAGTGCCACGTAAGCAGTGCCCCGCCACCATGATGGGCTCAGCTCTGGGCATGCCAGGCCAACTGGCCAACGAGTCCATTGCCGAGAACCGACAGCGGTTCCAGGCTCAGCTCGCACTGATTGAGGCTGAGGAACAGCGAGCAGCGGCTTCAGGCTGAGGCAGACGCAGATACCCAGGCACGCCGAAAGGAAGCCCAAGATCTGCTGCAGTGGCACGAAGCCGCCAGCATCGAAAAGCTCAAGTTCTGGCACTTCGAACCATCCGAAGAGCACGACGACGCGACACCGGAGGAGCAGCACAAGGAATTCATGGCCAAGCTCATGACCAGGTTGGTTTACACTTGTAACCACCTGCAGTTCGAGCTGGCGAACCTCCAGCGGGCCGTGCGGAACCACAAGGCTCAGCACGAGGATGCAGCACGGGCACTTGATTACCGTGTACAGGACTTGGAGCAAACTGCACCAAGACCGGAGGCTGGCGAGTCCAGCAGTGCACCCTCTGCCCGCCAATTGGAGGAACGCGTCGACCACGTAGTAGCAATGCTAGGTGACATCAGCACCTTTGCGGCACCAGTCACCATCAGCCAGCAGCTGGACACACTGAAGACCGAGATCAGGCAGCGACATCAGCCGCCCGACAATGATCGCAGCACCAACACCAGCACGGCGAAGCACTACAAGATGCCGACGTTCCGGATCGAGAAGTTCGATGATTACACACATCAAGACCCGGTCGTCTGGTGGCAAAGATTCACAATGGAGTTGGGGATTCATGAGGTCCCCGAACATTTGTTCATCGGCGCGTTGTTCCTTAACGCCAAGGGAGGATGCCAGATCTGGCTCAGCCATATGGCAACCATCCACGGCGTCCAGGTCTTCGACCTACACAAGAAGGTCTCCTGGGAGGAGCTGACAAAAGAATGGAAGAAGCGGTTTATCGTTGACGACGCCCCGGCGCTCGCCATCAACCGCATCTTCACGATGGCTCAAGGAAACACAGTGACACGTGATTGGCTCACGGATTGGCAGAAGATCGTGGCGACGCCCGATCTGGACTTGCCATTCCCGCATCTACGCCGGGAGTTCTACAACCGGTCATGCGCCGCTTTGAGCCTCGCGCTTGGTGATCGTGAGCAGTACAACACCTTCGCCGAAATCATCAACAAGGCGAGGGAGATCATCAAGACAAACAAGGAAGTTGCACACGATAAGTCAACGTGGCAGCCAACCTATGTGGAGAAGGTGAAAACTGGTCCGTGGCCGCAGCATGTTCATAATCCTTGAAGGTAGAGGCTCAGGCCCCAGAGCCGGCGTTCCAATGGCTGAAATCAGGCAGGTGCTTCCGATATCATGGCTTACTTTGTTTGTCTGCCTGTCAGCGCAGGATGAGCGACAATGAGATGATGTCATGTAAGACGCAATTTATAAGCCAGCATCCTGACAAAAGTCCAGCGTGTGTGGAAGTTGTATAACAGAGACGACTGGGGACATGCAGATCAGGGTCTGGTAATGCCTACTCCGGCTTTAGGAAGATTATCCAGTATCGAATGCAACTGTTCCGCCAGTGGGGCTCTCATCACGTCATGGGCCGAATGCAATTGTCCGCTGTTGTAGCCTAGCAGTCCAAGCGATCCCCATTTCTCGCCATCGCTACCTGGTTCAGCTGTATGTATTTTATGGTAAGTTGCCGCCGCTGCAATGCGCAGGCCTACACCCGCACTCTTTCTCCCCCAGACCGTGACCCGGGTCGGTGTGCCTCCTTTCCCCTTTCCTCTTGTCCCCTCTTTTCTCCCCGCCCCTGGTCATCCATAGGTGTCGCTGTGGTCCTCGTCTCTTTTGTTGTCGCCCCACTTTCAATCCTTTAAACTCTTTAAACCCTAGACCCCCATTCCCCCCCCAGGCAAACTTTGAGGCAATCATCAACAGAAAAAAGCACCCCCAGAAAATTAAGATGTACAGCCATAGATCTTTCCATCAAAAATCAGGAACAAGATTAAGAATCTATCTGGAACGTGTTTCGAGATTTGAAATTTGAAGATGAGATCACAAAGTAATCAAGGAAATTTAGGTCATGAATTTTGCTATCCAATTCAGAAGGTCAATCGCAAACACAATTTGATAGATTTCGAAACTTCAAAAGGAGAAACAAAAATAGGAAGTTGATTCCGATGTCCTCACGGACTTCCAACTCTGATTTCCAGAACCCTAGTTCAAGAAATCGCTCAGAGTGTAAATCAGGAATTACCAAACATAAAAGGGAAAATCACTAAGACAGTAATCAGGAGATTCTAAACTGAAAAAGAATCGGCAATGAAGACAGTACATGAGAAAGTTAAAAAAACAACAACTATCGATCAAGGTCTACTAAAAAATCTGAATCAAGAATACGACATGTAAACCCAGAGATTGAAATTTTCGGAGATCAAAACTGGAAACTTACAACGCGAATCAAGGTAATCCAGTTTGGTGACTACAACAGAAACCATTATACCTCATATGATCAGCGAGAGGGTCTATCCAAAGAAAAGCAAGCTCGACCTGAAGATACAATCAACAAAGTGAACAAAATCGAAAATCGACCACAGCGCTCTCGCACTCCGGATGCCCTTGTGACGAAAACGCAGCTGCCGCCGATACCGCTTTGCCCTTCTTCAAAAAATGCGGACTCGATGTCGCCTCCAATCCTCCTCCCACTCCACGTGAGGGCGCGCTCCTCCCTTTCAACCTGCATCAACCAACCATCCTCCCCGAAACTACGCAGGCAGCGAAGCAAAGGTAACCCATATGCCAAGAATCTCATGAAGACCCGCCCCCTTTCAAAGACAGTCTTCCCTTCAACCAGCGTGCTGGCCTGCAGCATCACTAGATGAAGCGTGAAGCCGGAGATGGCACCCCTGTGCTTTCAAAAGGAAGGCCACACCAAGTCACGCCATGCCATCTCTACCCTCCCACTGTCAAGTCCCACGCACCACCACCCCCACCCGCCCACCGCGTCGCATGACTCTCCGTTGACTCCCGCGTCGCGCCGCGTCCGCTCCGATGGTGCTCGAGCGGGGGCACAGCGCTCCCGGTCCGTAACTTCCACAGGTGAAGTGAGAAAGGTTGGACTAAATCTGGCCGGAAGGGGTTAATTTTCTTTGGGGTTTTCCCCTTTTTTCCGGGATGAATAATGTGAGGACCCGGCCTCATAACTATTTTTCATGAGCAATCCAGTTTCCTTTTCTCCAAAAAATAAATAAATAAACAATTGCAGCCAAACATTGAGCAGTCTCAGCATCACCGAGCCTTCAAGAAACCACACAGAAGAGGCATCCAACTCCTCAGGGGCGAGGTCACACTAGCAAAGAGGATTGGATTGAACCCCTTAATTTGGCCGCTTTTGTGGACAAGTGCAGAAAATCGAGATTGAACTCCATTTCTGCATCTCTGCCTAAAACACGTCCAGATTCAGGATATTTATCCAATCCTCTTTGCTAGTGGGACCTCGCCCCCGAAGCGAAGAAGGAAGAACAACAAAAACATCCTTTTTTTTTCTTTTTTTTTTCTTGAACTGATCAGAACAGATACTACACTTGATCTTAGCCAAAAGCCCGAGAATGTAGGCCATTATGGAAATGAATAGTCGTTCCCTTGGAAAACCCACCTCTGTCATCCCTGTTCTGTTCAGTTGTTTTCCTCCAGAGTCCAAACCCTTTCCTTTCAATAGTTCCGACCCATGAATACTCTTCCGCACCCTGTTATATATGACAAACTGACAATCCATCCATTGCTCCTGCTAGGAAAGGAAATATACAACAGTTCGCCCGTTGGTGGTACGGCGAGGGGACCTGCGTTGCGGCGGCGCAATAGCGCATTAGGCACGTGGCGTCGAGCTTCACGTTTAGGGTTAGACAGACGATGTCCAGCCGCCATAGCCCGGCGCGCTCAGCACGGGCCAAACCGTAGTTCCACGTAGCAACTGCAACGCCAAAGGAGCAGAGCAGTTAGCATGCGCTGGGTTGGACTGTCCTTTTTGCGTCGTACTGGGAAGAAGGGGAGAACGGGATGAGGGGGGAGGGAGGAGGAGGGAAGGGGTGAAGACCTTGAAGAATACACCGAACATACTGAACCGAAAAACGCGGTGGAGTACGCTTCCTTCTTATGGAACGGGGATAGTAACTGCACTATCTTGGGACTGTCCATGCATCGAGACTCTCTTTCGGTATAAGGGACGATCAGAATCTCGGGTATCACAAACGACGACAGTGGAGGCAGCGGCCAAGGATGTAAGATATCTTCCTATCCCAACCACACCTATTGTCTCTGTGTGTGTGCCCAGAGCCTCAGCCAATAACAACTAATCTCCTGCTGCTTTCCAAAACTAACGTCTTTCCGGCCAAACACTGTGCTTTTTGTTTACAGATAAGGCAGTTTTGAGCCTTGTTTTCTCGCCCTCCGGTCGGATGTGGAATTGCTTCCTGTCTTAGCCACCAGGTGTCCAGCTCTGAGCATACCGAATCCGAGGGCTTTTATCTTTTTGTCACACATTGAGATTATAGCGGCCTATCCTTTTTTCGGTTTCTTGTCCCGCCTGGGGACATACCTGGTGGGATTGGCTCGGGGCGACATTCGTTGAGCCCTCAATCTTCGTCTGCATTGTCGCCTGTCTCCGGGACAGGTGAACCAACCCTCCTAGATCCGATGTTTGTGTAAAAGGGGGCCTGGATGACTAGGTCGCTGTCGGGTGGAGATCTTTCGTGATATAGCGAATCAGGGGTACTTATAATATATTCGGTGGGATTGCAAAACAGCCCGAGCAACGTGGGGAAAATGACCTTTTCTCCCCTTTCACGATTTTCAGCGAGATTCATTGGTTTCACATTTGCTTGAAGTCCTCCTTTTCGCCTCTCCTTAGGACAGGGGGTCCAATCCACCAAGGACCGTATTTTGAGTGAAAGGGGGGCCCGTCCGACTTGGTATGTGTCCTTGCGGAGTCTGCCAAGAAGCAGTGAATCAACCTTAACTTTATAGCGGCCTAACCATTTTTTCGGCTTCTCTTCCCGCCTGGGGGAGATACCTGGTGGGATTCGTTTTGTGTGGCATTCATTGCGCTCTCAGCCTTGGCCTGTATTATCGCTTGTCTCCGGGACAGGGGAACCAACTCTCCTTATCCCGACGCTTGCGTGAAAGGGGGCCCGACTGTCTAGGTCGCTGTCGGGTGTGGATCTTTCGTGAGAGAGCGAATCTGCGGCACGAATACTATATTCAGAGGAGTGGCAAAACTGCCTGAACAACGTGTGGAAAAGGACCTTTTCTCCCTCTTCACGATTTTGGCGGGATTCATTGGTCTCACAGCTGTTTAGATTCCTCCTCTTTGGCTTTCCTTGGGTTAGGGGGTCCAGTCCACCAAGGACCGCTTTTTGCGTGAAAGGGGGGGGGCGACCGACTAGGTCTCTGTCGTTGCGGAGACTGCTGAGAAGCAGCGAATCAACTATGTTTTACTGCAGTGGAAAAGAAGCCAAGCAACCAGGGCAAAGAAGAGTAAGTGGCCTTGGCGGCCTCGTGGTCCTGTTCCAAGGTCTTTTGGCGAGATTCACCGTTCTCATATCCGTGACCTTTTCGCTTTTTTCGAGACAGGGGGTCCAGTCCACCAAGGCCGCATTTTACGCGAAAGGAGGGACCGAGTGACATGGAACCTGTTTTTTGTGGAAATCACAAGAAAGGTAGCGAACATACGGTCTTTAGGGCAGCAGGCGAAAGGGGCCAATCTGCCAGCAGCAGAGAAGAGTAGAAGTGGCCTATAGCCCTACGTGTTAAACAGGTGTGACTCGTGCTTACACTAAGTAGGAAAGAGTACCAAGAAACCTATCCCAGTACGAGAGGTAAACAGAGTACTTCATGAAGGTCAAACCCATACAGTGTGTTGTTGTGTACTCTTGCGTTAGCAAGCAGTGAGCTCCCCAGCTATGCATAGAAAATAATTGAATAATAATTAACTCGTAGGGTTTTTATTAACCCAATCTCTTCGAAGCATAGTACCTGGGGGATAAGAGGTACCATACTGACAGATCGACAAATCGAGACGACGCGCTTCCAAATAGACCTCCTTTTGAGTGTCTGTACAGGTGGCGGCTAGTGGGACAGAATGCATCCAGAAGGTGCAACTGGAAGTTTTCAATGGGGCCTGTACACTCCATTCTGGAAAAGGCCACAGGGATCAGGAAGCGGGGAAAAGGGGGGGAGTGGCGGAGACACCACTCAGGGAAACAGGGAGGTGGGAGAGGAGAGTATTCAGGGACAACAACCGTATGGTAAGGGGGGAAACGAGGCTT